TTAAAGGCGTCGTGCGGTGCATATCCTCTTTCCCCTAGATTATCTTTGACTCCAAGGCAACCTAAAACTTACTTATGCCCCATTTTGAAAAAGTATGGCATACAGGTTTTTAACCCTTGGTCCAGCTAATACACTTTCATTGGACAATTTCCCCCCATTCGGGTAGTTGCTGCGTGGAATAAACTCCTTCCGTCTGTTGTCCATGCTATAACTACCGCTCAGTTCAAGGCATTATTAGACTCTTTCGTGCGAGTACTCACGCTGGCAAGATTACTCCTCCGTGCTGATAACTTAAAAAACAGTGCTACACCATTTTCCGCTTGTGCTTTTCAGGAAAAACCGACCCAGCAAACTTCAGTAAGCCCTTCAATCCAATACATTAATCCACGAATCCGTCGATCCGTACTTGGGTTTTCTTCTCAGATGCCGATGACCACTGAAGGGCTGAACTCAGACTTGGTCGTTTTTCTTTCCAGATCTGCTTCTCGGGGCACGTAGCCCCGAGTGATCAAAGCAATAGCAGACACCTCATGCTGTGCACATGCATCGCAAACATATACCAAGCAGATAACAAGCGCTGTCAAACATTTTATAGCAAACGGGCCTTAGCATACAAGGGCTACAGAAAGGCATGATGGAACAGAGTCACTTTGAGAAAAACGAAAGACTGGTTGCCAATAAGGCAGCAGCCTTCAGTCAGCGTTCCAGGATACATCCTGTGTAGCACAGTGGCGGCAGTTAGGACGTTGTAATCGTTGCCTCAATTGATTGTTGGTTTTCGGACAGCTGTTGATAAGCTTGCCAATGTGACTTCTCACCGACTATCCGCGAACTGCCCGCCATGAGATGGGTGACAAATTGTGGGTCTATTCGACTTAGTACGCTGAAGTCGCAGCAGAATCCACATGCCATTAGGACAGTAAAAATGGAGCTTACCGTGTGGCTTTGTTCAGATGGGTCATAAGATTGAATATGCAGTGACCGTAAGTGGCCACACCATGCACAACATATTTGTTCGTTGTACGTACGCGGAAACGCGTCACAACCAACCTCAGTTTTCCTGACTGCATCAGTGCCGTTGCTTTATTTATCACAAAAGTTTTGACCTAGCACAGTATGAACGAACCAAACAGCTTGTACGTATGTGCGAGCTGCTTGCTTTCCACGAAAACGTGTGTCCCGAAGTCCTGTAGCCACGTCATCCGTGAAGAGCACAGTGTATACCCCGTTACCAAATACCCTCGATAAACTGTTTCAAATAGGCTTACTCAACACGGTTTGTCGAAAGTGCTCCGTTTTCACCCGCGAAGCCATGGAATATATAACACTATCTGTTACGTTCTGTTAAAGCATACGTGTCTATGAGGCGCAGAACCCGACTGTTAACACACTGTGGGACCGTAAGGACGAATCTCCGTCACAACTGAAGTATTATGCCCTCAAAACATGGAAATGTAACAATCAGAGACCTGCTCAACAGGGAAGGCCAAAGCTTGAGGTTGCAACAGTTTACGTTCTTAGTCTTAAGGACCTTCCCAAATCAAGTAACAATAACATATCAAGTGACAGTGTTCCTTGTTTTGGGGGCGCGTTTCTCTACTCAACGCCTCTTTGTTCAACCGTCAACTGACAGGCAAGTGGCCACGCTCCCGAAAAAATGGTAAGAGATGACGGAAGGACA